GTGAAGTATCACTAAGGCCTTAACATACACACATTTAAGGGCTCGAATATGCAATATTCAGTGCTTATCATCCAGCATATAAAAGTGGGTGGGAAACCAAATAGATAAAGAGTATTAAGCAAAAAGTCCCAACCCACTGAGTCAAAAGCCTTCATAAGGTCAACCTTAATAGCACACCTAGGTGGTTTATGTTTGTGGTACCCTTATAATAGCTCATATACAAGCATTACACTATCCCCTATATGACTCCCTTTAATAAATGCATTTTGTGGCAAGGGACAATAAGAGAGGCTAGGACCATTTTGAGCTTATTTGCAAGGAGCTTAACAATGCTTTTGTACATTGTGTTACAGCAGGAGATAGGTCTATAGTCATTCAAAGTAGTGGGATTAGGGACCTTGGGTACTAAGGAAATGTAGGAGTTATTGATCTCTCTAAGTATCTTCCCATTAGTGAAGAAAGATTTGATAGTAAAAACAACATCTCTACCCATTATAGGCCATGCTATATGAAATAAGTGTGCATTGAAGCCATCTGGTCCGAAGGATTTCTCCTTCTTAAGGGGAACGAAACATGCTTGGATCTTATCCTCATAAGGGATAGTATCCAACACTGATAACAAATTATGGGAATAACCTTTGGAATGAATCTTTGAAGAGAGGTTTTCCTAGGGTAATGTGGAGGGGAGCTCCCCAAGAGAAGTTGGAAGTGGGAGACTATTTCCTTTTTTACCAAATTGTCATTGTCAATGGATTCACCAGTAAAAGAGGTGAGTGTGGTTATCTTATTTCTATTTTCCCTATAGTTGAATGTCTTGAAGAAGTAGGTAATATTGTTGTCCTCATCACTTTGCCACTTGACTCTAGACTTCTGCCTTATGAACTGTTCTTCTGTGAGAGCAAGCTTTGAGTATTGTTGCATAAGAGAGCTCTTTTAGCTCAGTGTCCCTAGGATTGATGCCAAAGAGTTTTTGAAATGTAAAGAGGTTTTGTTTAGTTTGATTGACCATCTCAAAAGCCTGGGAGATCTCCACTCTGCATTTCTTTTTCAGAATAGCTTTTAGAGCCTTTAGTTTTTACACCGCTTGAAACATAAAATCCCTACCAATATTTGTGCTCCAGACCCATTCAACTGCAGGAATAAAAAAAGGCTTAGATGCCCATGATTTAAAGTACCTGAAGGGTATCCTTTTAGGGATAGAACTTCCTAATTTAATAAGCATATGGCTATTAGAAAGGCTTGGAGGCAAGAAGGTGCAGTCTGACATTGGGAAGGAAACTGTCCATTTCTCATTGCACAAGGCCCTATCCAGCTTCCTTACAATGTTAGCATGCCCTATGCTTTTATTGTTCTATGAGTAATGGATACCAGTGAACCTCAAATCATCCAACTGTGAGCATTGAATGCATTCATTGAACTCAGTTATAGCCCTTGTCCATCTTAAAAAGCCCCTAAATTTCTCATGAAAATTAGGGATTACATTAAAGTCCCCAAGGACAAGCCATGTAATTAAGTCAGTGAAAATAGCTACAAAATGATCAATACTTTCCGAAAGCTATCTCCTATCCAAATATGCATTACAGGCATATGCAAGAGAAGAAAAAAAGCTCTGTATGTTATTAGAGAATATAACAGAGCAGTGTATAACTTGTCTAGTGGAGGCCACAAGAGACGTATTAATTTTGGCAGGTTCCACAAAATCCAGATCCTACCCAACACAGAGTGATCATAGTTATGTATCATAGCCCATCTAGAAGCAACAAAATTTTTTATTTCTCCCATATTGTAAGGAGAAACTTTAGTTTCCAGGATTGCTAACAAATCCAATATATAGGTAGAAATGATATTCTTCAACTCGAGTTGCTTGGAAAGGCTATTTAAGCCTTTAATATTCCAAGTAGTAATGTTAATCACTGAGAGGCATTTTAGAAATACCTCTCAGATGCCCTAGCCCTTTGAATGTAGCAGAACTTGTTTGGTTGTGTGATAAGGATGAAGAAGTAGGCTGAGACTGCTCTGGCTCTGCATTAGATGATGAACTTGCATTATCAATCAGTGGCATGAATTGGATTGTGGTGGGTATAGCAAATGGAACACATTCCTTCCCAGCCCTCTGAGAACAGCTTCTGGCAATTTGCTTAGTTTGTAACAATGAAATATTCCATGATGGTGGAGAAAACCCATGGTGGTTGAATTTTCTAGTTGGTGATTTCTCCTACAACTGAGAGATGATAGGATCTACATGCATCAGTATTAGATTGTTTCATAGGTGATGATGCTTGAGGAATTTCCTCATTAACAATAGGCATAGATGGAGCTTTCCTATTTGGAACCTTTTCCCATTTAGATGTAGGCCAAATTTTGATATGAAGATACACTATCCTTAACAGTGGGGCAGATGGAAGAGGTATGACCTACTTTTTTGCATGTAGTACAATATTTAGAGACTCCTTGATATTCCACATGAATATGGACAATTTTCCCATCTGTTTTTCTTAAGGGAAAGGATTTGATGAGAGGAGAGTTAAGATCTAACTCAATACATATCCGAGAAAATTTTAATTTCTCTCTACATTCAGTAGTTTGATCAGCATGGAGTGGCCTACCAAGGGCACTAGTAATGTGGCTTAGGCTCTTAGCAGTCCAAAATTGGATTGGAACATTAAAGAGTTTGACCCAAGCATGCACTAAATGACTCTGTTGATTGTCATGTGACAGTTTAGGCTTCCATCTTTGAAACTGGATTAGTTTCCCAGCAAAAAGGTTAGGACCTGGCGCAAGGATATGCTCAACTGGTATATCATTTGTGAATCTGAAGTAGAAAAAACCACTTCCATCTGCATAAACATAGAGCAACCCTTTCTCTTTCCATAGCTTTATTGCAGTTTGGTGAACTATGCTAGAAGGAGGCTTCTTGGTTGAGAAATGCCCTTCTAGCAATCCATTCCAAAAAGAACTCCCTTCCTGCTCAACCTCCTTTGGTGGGATTACTACAATACCATTATCATTCTTTGATGGCTCAAAGAATCCAAGAACCATTTTTTGGGATGATGGAAGTGGAGGGGGGCTGTTGAGCAATCTCATCCCAAGATCTAGTTTTGGTTTGATAAGTGAGAAATAAGTGGTAGTTGCTATAGAGGTGTGCATTGTCCATCGGGTAGGGGAGGTATGCATTGTCCATCCGGTAAGCGAATTACTTATTAATTGCAAAGTATGGGCTGTAGAGAATACCTAGCTAAAAATATAATAAACTAAAAAATATATATATATACAGAATCTTAAGCAATGGTTAAGATCTTGATAAATTAATGGAGAAAATGAGAAGCATTATGTTGATGTGAATATCTAGCTAAAAATAGTACTACTTTCGTTCCATTTTAAATGTCGCCTTCAGGAATTATGACTCACAATAGTTTCACATCATAATTCCTGAAGCCGACATTTAAATGGGATAGAGGGAATAATAAACTTAGAAAGTTATAGCTTGGTGCATGACATATAAAAGATGGAACTAATCTAATCATTAATGTGAATTTAAGTCTAGGGATAGCATTATGTACAAATAAGATTTGTATTAGAGAGAAATCAGAGCCCTATAAACCCATAGCCAAAAAGGAAAATGGAAATTGATATATTCATAATTTCAAGGACATATGCACACATTTATAACCAATATGATCTTCAAAACGATTTCAGAACAGAAAAATAATTGAGTTCTGAAGGGAAAGGAATAATTGGTCTCTCGTCTCTATGAAGAAAAATGAAAAATAATATCTATGCAATCAAGGTTTCAAGCACAATAAGAAATTGGTGGAAACAACTAGCTAAGACATTCTGGTTTTTTCAAGCATATCAAAATTTTCATTTTTATTGTTGATTATCAGAGATAGAAACGATAGAGATGCAATATAGATAGATATAGAATTAATATATGAATTGATGTTGTATTCAATTGATGTTATGATAATGATACAAAGCCAGTATAAATAGGCTAGCATCAAATGGCTAGTAAATCACTATTACAATGGCTATAATATAATATAATTATGGTAGCATATAATATAATCTAATTATGTTAACATCCCCCCTCAAACTCAAGTTGGTAGAGCAGAAATCAACTTGAGTTTGGAGAGAAAAACCTGAAGCGGAAGGTGGTACTGGAGTTGTGAAGATCCGATACTTTATGGTGCTTAGAAGCACATGATAGACCACTTACGGCAAGTGTGGTAGCCTTGAGAAAGCTTTTGAAAGCTAATATTTAAGTGGAATCATAGAGTGGAATTTTCCACTTGAGAGACACACGGATGCATTGATTACCAGGGGCGCTTGGAAGCGTCGATTATCTGGGGTGCTCTGAAGCGTCGATTTACTAGGGGCGCTTATGGAAGCATCGATTACCAGGGGCGCTTGTGGAAGCGTTGATTACCAGGGGCGCTCGGAAGCGTCGATTTACCAAGGGCGCTCAGAAGCGTCGATTACCAGGGGCGCTCGTGGAAACGTCGATTACCAGGGGTGCTCGGAAGGGTCGATTTACCAGGGGCGCTCGAAAGCGTCGATTACCAAGGGCGCACGGATGCGTCGATTACAGAGGGCGCTTGGAAGTGCATCAGAGAGAGCCAAATCAATGCCAATAAATTAGGCGAGCTATACTCCGGAAACTGAAACTGGTCAGAATACACCCCCTTAAGTTCTAAAGGGATATCAGGAGCACTTAGAACTTGAATCTGAAATTGGGCCAAAGCTGAACTAAAACTGGTTAGAATATTGATCTGGGCCAAAACTGAACTAGAACAAGGCCGAATATTGATCTGGGCCGGAGCTGAACTGAATTGGGCCAAAACTTGAACTGAACTGGGTCAAAAAAATTTTTTTGATATGGGCCAAATATTGAACCGGGCCGGATACTGAAAAAAAATGGGTTTGGAACCGTCCAAACAAGTAAACAAATAGCCTGCACTTTCCATAAATCAGCACGCTTTATATCTCTCCCCCAACAAAAAGAATAAACTACCGACAAAAAATCAAAACATTCTACAAACCCAATATAGAGAAATACAGAGAGCACCGCAGGTGAGGACTGAACTGTCTTCAAAAGTCAATGTCGACTTGAGACCGATGTCGACAACGAAGGACGGCGGGCTAGGAGGATGGAGATGGCCGGCAAGACAGATCCGGCCGCGGGACAGATGCGGCTATTAAAGATGGCGAGCTATAATGAGCTCTGCGAAGAGGGAGATGGCTGGGTCCAGTAAGCTTGCGATGGAGAGGACAGCGGAGAGCCAGCGAGAAAGATCTGGCGGTGGCGAGACTGAGTTCGAGGCTGTGATTCTGTTGGACTTGCTCGGCTGTGATGAGCTCTTGCTCGTGCTGGCTGGTTCGGCGAGACAGATGGATTGGTGAGATAGATGGATGGTTAGGCAAGAAGGTTGACAGATGGATGGCTGAGTCCGGCTGTGAGTAAGAAGGCATCGGTTGGTTCGGGATGGTAGCGAATCAGAGACTAAAGAAGTCATGATTTCGGTGAGGCTGTGACAAACGGTGACTTGGACTGAACCGGCGACGAGCGATGGGCTGATTTGGCCTTGATCTGGCGATGTGGACCGGTGAGTCGGAGTCTTAGAGCTTGACCCGGTATGGTGCTATTTCTGATGTTTGGCGACGAGCAGCAGAGAGCTAGAAGGTATGTTTTGATTTTTTGTAGTTCCAGAGAGAGAGAGGGCAAGATCAAAGCGAGAGATGGTGTCTCATATTGGTGGTTTAATTGAGGACCTTGGACCGCCGCATGAGATGAGGCCTATGCCGCCATCTCCGGCGGTGGTTCTGATACCATGTTGAATATGAGAGATAGAACGATAGAGATGCAATATAGATAGATATAGAATTAATATATGAATTGATGTTGTATTCTATATGAATTGATGTTGTATTCAATTGATGTTATAATAATGATACAAAGTCGGTATAAATGGGTTAACATTAAATGGCTCGTAAATCACTATTAAAATGACTATAATATAATATAATTAATCACTATTAAAATAGTTATAATATAATATAATTATGATAGCATATAATATAATCTAATTATGTTAATATTTAGGGATTATTACATATAAATGGGGTTAGGGATCCATATTTACTAAGAGGCTAAGTCAAAGTCCCATAGTTTCTCTAAAATGAGTTTAACCCAAAAGCTGAGGTGGCACATGAAAAAATATTGTTTCGTATTTCTGTTGCCTAAAATACCCTTCTTCCTATTTTATATGTTGCCTAAAATACCCTTTCCTACAATGACCTAATTGCAAGCCCTAATATCATAACCATTCGTTCAGTGCAGCAGCCCCCTCTCTCCACCTCTCTGTAAAATAGCGCCCTAGCCATATGACGACTTTTATGCGACGAAGAAGACGATGAACAACGAGTAGTGATCAGCGAGCAACGACCAGAGGGGAGTGACGAAGGCCAACGACCAGTCACTGTTGTTCAGTTCTACCAGCGAATGAGCAAGGACGAATGTACCTTATTATAATCGCCTATTTCTATGATTTTAATCGTTATGATTTCTATTTCTGTCCAGTGAATTCCCCTCTTCTCTTCACCTACAGTATAGTCGGAGTGATGAATCCTTTAGGACTTCCATGACGAAAGTCAGTTTCCTCAAGAAAATGGGTATAATTGGGCTGGAGCAGTGAATGTCTTGGAGATGGGTTTAGTGTTGCACCGAACAATACGTGCTATTTTCATATATTGCAGTTTCTATGTAGTAGTTGTCATCTGTGGCCTCTCTCTGGTGTAGCTTTGGTTGTGCAATGTGCGAGGCAATTACCCGAAAAGCTTAAGCATGTTGGGTCAACTTGTTTAACAAAGATGATCAGCGCCTGCTCCTTGGGTCTCTGAAATCCAGTTAGCAAAATCTACCTTGCATTTCGTTTTTCTTTATTTGTTTCATATTATTTTTTTATTTGTTCTTTGCCAAATTTGATTAACATGGTATTTTCATTTTGCTTGCAGTTGAATTTCCCTTTTTATTCTTTTATCTGCATATATCATTGATAAAAAAACACTATTTGTTTGCATGAGGAAATAGATAGCATGTTGATGTTGTGACGAAATTGGTTTTCTGATTTAGTGCTTCCCTGCTTGTTTAAATCTATTTATGCTTTAGTTGTTAATTGAGTTCAATATTTATCATCTTACCTTTTCATAGTTACTCATGTATTCAAATGTGTAGGTTATTGTGAATCTCTAATTATACTGTTTTTTTCCCCCCACAATACGAAAAATTTGCGAATCATTCATGAACTAAGAAGCTATAATTTGTGCTTAGCCAAAGCAAAGGTGGTGTGGTTATTCATGGTATAAGGTTGAGGGCCTGAGTTGTTATAAACTGGTGTTTCCATTGGTTGGTTCGGGGTGTGAAATTATAGTGGCAGTTAAGTGTGGAGCGGTGGAGGTATTGAATACTTGAAGACTATATCGATAATGTGTTTAAACAGAATATAAAAGAATTATACTGCATTGTCGTATTGTTGTTTTCTATCAAAGAACTTGAGGCTTAATTATCTGATTTCAAACTTCGGCACATGAACTGTAGTTACCATGCTAATACTACCCTTCTGTGTTCATCAATAAACCTGTTTTTTCAGACATCTAGATTAACGAACCCTCCCTTGACTAGTAACATTCCACTAGTTTGAATTTGACCCATGAATTAGACTGTTCTGTTCACTCATTGTTTTATTTATTTTCTTAAATATGTTATATTCCTGGCGCAACGATATGACTTTTCACTGATCCTTTTTTTTAACCAGAAATTCACTAAAAAATTTGCCAAAAAGACTGAATGATATTGTTTTTAGGAAGTGATGCAAGAAAATACAGGTGCTTGATTGTTTCCATTTTTTTTTTTTTTTTTTTTTCGACTCTGAAATTGAGAGTATATAATTGTTTTTCTAAACTATCAAATCCGGTTTTTTAATTTAAAATCTTTGATTTGAGACAGCATTTGGCAGGACATGATCTGGGCGAGGCTTCAAGCGGTGTAGACCAGATCTAAACAATCCACAGTACACAAGAACGATTAGCTTAGCAGTAAAGTGGAAAATGCAAAAGGTATAAGTTGACTTGCCTTTTGATCCTTGTCTTTACTGGCTTTTAGCATTGCGAATTGGACAATTTTGTTTCATAGCTAGCGTTATGGTTGTCTTTTAACGTTTCTCTTCAGTCATCACCTTGTTGCACTTAGTCTTGCTTTGTGGTTCCTTTCTTCAATAAGTGCTTATTTACAAAAGTAATAGGAGTTAAGGTGGTTAATATCATAAATTTTCACTATGTCCTCAAAATCAGTTGTCAATCTAATACTAGAAAAATTACTAACATCAAATGTTGTTTTTCCACTCGGGAAGCCTCATACTCGCAATAATTGCTGAAGACTTCCCCTTTTAGTAGTATTCCCTCATGGTCTCTTTAACTAACTTCCATTTAATTTGTTTATAATGATCTGCTGTTAAGGTTCACATGTTTATTCTTGTTCCTGACTCACTATTCTAGTCATAAAGAGTTGATGTCACGAGTAATTACTATTAATTAGGCCCAGGGGAGGAGAGACAAGCCTTCCATGTAGTGGTTGGTTAGACACTCAGGTCCTATAATCCATTTTATTTACCGAAAATTATATACAATTCATTATAAATTTCTATGATCAGTATGACACATGGTATAGTTTTTGCTCAAAGAGTTGTTTATTGTTTTGCTTGCTAATGACACTACAGATGAGCTGGTCTTTTGGCATCTTAATATCCCATTTCCTTTATAGTTTTTTTTGGTAGCTAGGTCATTTCTTTAATAGTTTTAAACAGCCAATTGTTCACCATTCTCTTCAATTCAATTTATTAACTTGATTATCAAGATAATGATGAAACCAAGTTTTGGCTTCATTGACAAAATTAACGATGTCCTATTGAAATTAGCTAGGTCATTTCTTTAATAGTTAAACTTTTTTTGTGCTTGATAAATAGAGTGAGCAGAGAACACCTAAGAGGAGTTAGAATCTTTTTGGATGTTGCATTTGACAATGTAGGCATAGTCAAGATGATATTGTGCCCATGTGTTATGTTTTGCAATTGCTTGTGGAAGTGCCATCAAGATGCATTAGATGATATTATTGTTGACGGGTTTCTTAAAATTTACACACATTAGGTGTGTCATGGGGAGAGAATCTTATGGTGTTACTAATCAAACGGTAGAGAATGAGGACATAGACGAACAGGATGGCGTGCATAAGATGTTGCATGACGCATTTGGAGTAAGAAGCCCTGAAGATGATATAGATGATTCGATGCATGAAACTAGAGATAGGCCTAATATTGATGCATGAGATGTTGCATAACGCGTTTAATGTTTCCTTAAATTATATGGTGGGCATGAACTAAAACAATATACTTTTTATGTTTCCTTAAACAAAAATATTTCCTCTATTTCTAATTAATATAGGATTAGTATTAAGCTAATGGCTTAATTATGGTGATTATTTGGATCTATAAAATTATTATAATTACTAAGTTTTACCTGGGATGGGTTTTTGACATAGTAGAGTGAATGAAACAGTTGGGGGGGGGGGGTGAAGAGCATTCTGGGCAGAGTGACCTTTCATTTCCTTGTAACTTGTTATCCTTGTAACTTAAAATGAATTTTCTTGTTCGGACATTAAAACATTTTACTGACTTTAAAACTAAATATCATCACTCACTTGTTATCCTTGTAACTTAAAATGAATTTTCTTGTTCGAACATTAAAACATTTTACTGACTTTAAAAGTACTTTGAATAAGGTTATTTTTAACTCAAAAGTCTTAATTTCATGATCTAGTGAAATTAAAGATTTTGTGTAATTTAAATCCGAAAAATAATATCCTAAATTGAAGACACAATGTCCATGCAAAATCGGTATTACATTCGTGAACACATTTACTTTAAGGATGCAACACTCATTCAACATATCGTATTTAGTTTAGAAATTTTTTGTCGTTTCATATTAGATTTCATATTGTTACATCCTTGATTTAATTGTATAGTAAAGTACACAGAGGCTTTCTTTGCCCTTCACCTAAACTACGCAAGAAAGCCTGTACTAGCGAGGATCCAAATTTGTGTGTTACCTACAAATATAAATATGTGTGTGTGTGTGTGTGTGTGTGTATGTGTGTGTGTGTGTATCAAAATGGACACAAAAAGTGGGACACTTAAACTAAATACAATAAGAGATTGCAAACTTGAAAAATAATAATCTCTCACACACATACACACGAGGCTGGTTTATATTTGAGCCTATTTCATCACTAGCAACATAAAAGGCAATGTAACCTTGTTCTATTTACTTGAATTCTGTCCATATATGTGCTCTATTCTTCCTTTTTGTATCTAATGTGCCTGTGTTGGTAATTTATTTGTAGATGTTCAATACCCGGTGTTCTCCAAATAAATTCAAGGAAACGGTTTGCAATTTAAGTGAAGTCAAAAAGGTGTCGTACAAGAGATTAGGTTTTGGTCCCTTTTAGACATCGAGTGTACCATTTTGAAGCGCAACCTGTGCTTATGGTTGGTAAAACACTTTGATCCTAGAACATCCCATCTTACCCTTGAATCTGGCGCTCAGATCCGTGTTACGCCAAGTGATGTGGGATATAGGACATTTGTAATGTTGAACAGTGTTATTTTTTTGGCATGTATTTTGCAATCTGTTGGTGTTAGCTATTTTTTAAGTTTTAAAGAAAATTAGCTTTGCAACTTTTGATTGTGGATTAGGTTGTATGTTTTCGCAACTATTGTATGGCTTATTATACTGGCATCTACCTTAGATGGAATCAAATGAAGTTGTTCTTTTGGTTTTTCATGAATTAGTATTGTATGGCTTATTATATTAGGGTCTCACTGAATTTTCTTTCACTATTATATTAATGTACTAATTTCAAATTTGATGGAGTTTAAAATTGAAGCAGTTTAATAAATGAAAATTTGGCCTGTTGTTTCCTTGGTTCCATGGTGTCGATAAATGGATAATTTAATCTCAATAGTTGTCAAAGAAATAGCACACTATCTCAATAAACATATATGTGTAATGTGATTAAGTTGCATATTACATCCATAAACAGCTCCATTAGTACCATGATGAACACAAAATATTCTCCAAGCTAGCTAAGTGAGTGTTTAGAAAATGTGGTACCTTGACGCAAAAAAGTGGTACCTTCAGTTCAACCACGTGGTACCTTTGGGAAAAATGTGGTACCCTCGCAAAAGGGACTTATTTTTGCAATTGAAAATGGTATTACAACCCACATCGCTAATTAATTTGCACATTACATCCATAAACACCTCCATTAGCACCATGACTAACACAAAATATTCTTCAAGCTAGCTAAGCGAGTGTTTAGAAAATATAGTACCTTGACGCCAAAAAGTGGTACCTTCAGTTCAAAAACGTGGTACCCTTGGGAAAAAAGTAGTACCCTCGCAAAAGGGACTTATTTTTGCAATTAAAAATGGTATTACACCCCACCGGTAATTAAGTTGCATATTACATCTATAAATAGCTCCATTAGCACCATGAATAAGTGTTTAGAGAAAACGCGGTACCTTAACGCCAAAAAGTGGTACATTCAGTTCAAAAACGTGGTACCCTTGGGAAAAAGTAGTACTCTCGCAAAAGGGACTTATTTTTGTAATTAAAAATGGTATTACACCCCACACCGGTAATTAAGTTGCACATTACATCCATAAACAGCTCCATTAGCGCCATGAGTAAGTGTTTAGAGAAAACGTGGTACCTTGACGCCAAAAAGTGGTACATTCAGTTCAAAAACATGGTACGTTTGAGAAAAAAGTGGTACCCTCGCAAAAGGGACTTATTTTCGCAATTGAAAATGGTATTACACCCCACACCGGTAATTAAGTTGCACATTACATCCATAAACAGCTCCATTAGTGCCATGAATAAGTGTTTAGAGAAAACGTAGTACCTTGATGCCAAAAAGTAGTACCTTCAGTTCAAAAACATGGTACCTTCGGGAAAAAAGTGGTACCCTCGCAAAAGGGACTTATTTTTGCAATTGAAAATGGTATTACACCCCACACCGGTAATTAAGTTGCACATTACATCCATAAACAACTCCATTAGCGCCATGAATAAGTGTTTAGAGAAAACGTGGTACCTTGACGCCAAAAGGTGGTATCTTCAGTTCAAAAACATGGTACCCTTGGGAAAAAAATGGTACCCTCGCAAAAGGGACTTATTTTTGCAATTGAAAATGGTATTACACCCCACACCAGTAATTAAGTTGCACATTACATCCATAAACAACTCCATTAGCGCCATAAATAAGTGTTTAGAGAAAACGTGGTACCTTGACGCCAAAAAGTGGAACCTTCAGTTCAAAAACATGGTATCCTTGGGAAAAAGTGGTACCCTCGCAAAAGGGACTTATTTTTGCAATTTAAAATGGTATTACACCCCACACCGGTAATTAAGTTGCACATTACATCCATAAACAACTCCATTAGCGTCATAAATAAGTGTTTAGAAAACGTGGTACCTTGACGCCAAAAAGTTGTACCTTCAGTTCAAAAACATGGTACCTTTGGGAAAAAAGTGGTACCCTCACAAAAGGGACTTATTTTTGCAATTGAAAATGGTATTACACCCCACACCGGTAATTAAGTTTCACATTACATCCATAAACAACTCCATTAGCACCATGAATAAGTGTTAAGAGAAAACGTGGTACCTTGACGCCAAAAAGTGGTACCTTCAGTTCAAAAACGTGGTACCTTTGGGAAAAAAGTGGTACCCTCGTAAAAGGGACTTATTTTTGCAATTGAAAATAGTATTACACCCCACACCGCTAATTAGGCTGCACATTACATCCATAAATAAATCCATTGATGCCATAAAGAGTACAAACTTTATTATAATCTAGCTAAGTTGAGGGAATGAATAGTACAAAATATACTCCAACATCACTTGGAACATTGTTTCTTTGCTATTTTTTTTTTTTTTTAATTCTACAAGATATCCTAAAAACAACTATTCTCTACCTGCTAGGTAAAGAAGCTGCTTTTAAGCCAGTTCCATAATGGAATAGTACTTTGCAAAAAGTTCTCCTTACCTGATAAGTGTCCTTAGTTCTTCAAAGTTTTTCTCCCGGAATGGAGCTCTCAACGACTGCAAATTCCACCAGCGTTCCTTAAGCAATTTGATGGAGTTTTACCTTCCAAGTCTATAATTAGGAGTTATGCAAGCAAATCGTGGCTGGTTGAAGTGAGAGAGGTTAACAACACAAAATATTTTTACAAGGGTTGGCATGAATTTATGGAAGATAATTCACTAGAGTTCCAAAATTTCTAACTATCTTATTATATATAGTGAGGAGATTTCCTAGTATTTTATTATATATGAAGGAAGAACATTTGCTAGTTGAAGACAATGGCAAGCAGCAAAATCCTATATGTCGAAGGGGTCTCATGGCCTCACGAAGTTCGTGAGGAATTAAAAATAGAATAGCTTCAAATATGAGGAGTTAAAAATGGAATAGCTTATAATGCTATAATGAATAGATGCCAAAGAATTTCCCTCCATACATTAACAAGAGAGAACCAATGAATGACTACTACTTCAACAACTCCATTGGTTTGTGTATTGGCCATATAATTTTGTCGATAGAGATAATGAGAAAGTGGGTTGGTTTTGTGTATCTACTAGAGCTGATTGTTTTTATAGAGAGTTCTATTCTGTGACTAGTCATGTGATTTAACAAAATGCCAAATTATGTAAATCAGCCTTATAACATGGCAGATAAAGAGGTATGGTCACATCATCAAGAAAAAGCCTTAGTGTTTGAAAAAGTTATAAATAGTGGCATTGTTGTCATGAGGCAGAGTATTGGCATCCCTATTTGTAAGTGTAATTTACTCATCTAATGTTTTTATTTTAACAAAACTATTATAATGTGAATTTCTTTTTTAAATACATTTCTAAGTGCACTATGATTATGTAGTATCTTTATTTTTTCTCATATTTGATCAAAGCTATTAAAAAATCTATTTTCCAAATACATTTCTAAGTGCACTTTGATTATCCAATGTCTTTATTTTGATTCTATTTAATTAAAGTTATTATAATTTTTTTTAAAAATAGATTTCTCGCTGTATTTTGATTATGTAACGTAATTATTTATAAGTGCACTTAGAAATCTATGTGACACAAATAACAATTATGTAATATCTATATTTTGATAATGTTAATTTTTTGTAGATAGCTGATGGGAGGACGAAAATACTATATGTTGTTTTCATTAGCCGAAATATTGGAATATACACAAACTGGGATGAGTGTAAGGCACAGACACGCGATTTTCCGAATGGCACGTATTATGTCTACAATAGCAAAATAAATACAGGGTACATTTGTAGAAACACAATCACTTATTTTATTGAAGGAAAAATAAATACACACTTGAACATATTGAAAAATAAATACACACCAAATCCCGATAGAGGGGACGATGATTATATTGTAGGTTAGTGTTACATAAAAAATGAACCATCGATATGAGGAGTTAAAAATGGAATAGTTTTGAGAACGATTGAGAATGTAAAACAACTACTTTCAATCCACACATCTCTTAACGAGTACTTTCGCTCTATATACTTTCGGTCCATACATCAACAAATAAGATTTACTAGTGCTAATGTTATGGTTTTGTGCATATGCCATATGTCTATTTATAGAGCCTAATTTACAGACATGTGAATGAATTTTACCTATATCATGATTGGACAAAAGGGACTAGCCATGTGATTGAACAAAAAGCCAAATAATGTAAAATAGCCTTGGACCATGGCAGATAAAGAGGTATGGTCACATCATCAAGAAAAAGCCTTAGTGTTTGAAAAAGTTATAAATAATGGCATTGTTGTCCTAAGGCAGAGTATTGGCATCCCTATTTGTAAGTGCAATTTACTCATCTAATGTTTTTATTTTAACAAAACTATTATAATGTTAATTTCTTTTTCAAATAGATTTCCTCCTATAAATTATTTATATCATTTGGATAATCTTTAAATTATTTCATCCATCACTTTTTTAAGTTGTGCATGAATTGTGTCTGCCTATCACTAGAACAAAAAATTCATTCTACAATTAAAAAATTCATCGTTTACTAATGTTCCAAAACAATTCAGCATTCATCAATGTTCCAAAATAGAAACTAAATCTATTTGTCAAGAATATCATCAATTTCCTAGCACTCCTGTTTAGCAAATTTATAAACCATTTCCCTTATTGAGTTTCAGTCTGCACTTGTCAAAAAACCACCTCATTATCTATGGTACAAAATCCAAGCAAGTAGCTGCATCACACAAGTCTCAAATTCAGTATGCTAATCATAAAAGGGAAAGAACATGATTGTCATTTATGAATCAAAGAGATATCATCAGTTATTCAAACAAAAATGTAGCGAAGAAACTACTACCAAAAAGTACGAACAAAATAACATACAGAAATAAACAAAACCAAGACAGGAGAAACTATTGCAAGGATCAACTGATTTAAATATATTATTACATTGGCAAGCACAACACAACCATTTATAGTTCCATAAGGGAATTCTCATGTTCTCAACTTCATACAAGGTAAAGTTTTAGAAACACAATCACTTATTTTATTGAAGGAAAAATAAATACACACTTGAACACATTAAAAAATAAATACACCTAGCACCACTATTTTTAGCTATGTGATGATTTGACAACACCTCACATATCTCTCTATGGCATCATATGTTCTCTTATATGGAGCCCAATTCACAGAAATCACATGAAT